CGGAGTAATATATCTGATACATATCTACGGCATTGTTCTGCAATATGTTGTGCTCCATACTCTAAAATGTAAAGAGATTCTAAAATAAATTACATACAGTCATAGTTCAAGTTTTGATTTTTACTAACATGTCCAAGGTGCATAACAGCATGAATGTAAGCGTCATCCTTTTCAATCTTACGACGATATCTCTGTGTGGCTTCAGGGTCATTCATGTTTATATCCTTAGGCCAACCACCTTCGACATGGTTTATACCGGAACTTGTATACTCCGCTCTAAAAATGTACAACCACTAGTACATGTCATGAAGAAATAGTTGCTTAATACTAAATAAAAAAAAAATCTTTCACCTCAACAAAGTTTTTTCGATTACCATCTCACGTCACTTTTTTCAAAAAGAGCAAGAATTATTTGGCGCTTATAATAAAACTTAACTTCACATACGAAGTAGATCAAATAGTAACTTACCTCGTTGAATTCACCCAGTGTTCAGACATATTTGGAGCATTCTGTACCGCAACATGTACAGGATTGCGTAGTATATAATTTTTATAGTGATTAGGATTGCAGGGAATACTAACACAAATTTCAGGGCCATAATCTTCAAATAGAGTTTGTTTTCCGAAATCTTTCCTTCGCTTTGTATACTCGTACGTGATTTCGGTTTTTTCCGGCCTCTCCATTATTTCGTTGTTATTTAATCAATATCGTTGCCACTGGCCTACTGCGACTGAACGCGTTTCTGATCAAATGGACAGATACTATCATAGTAAAAATTAACAAAATTATCGGAGAAAGATAGGAACTTTATAGAAGTAGAAATAAAACTTTCTAATGGTAAATTTTTATTTAACATTTTTCTACGTTACATTAGTTTGTTTATTAAAGAATGAATGAATGGTAATGATTAATTTAATAAAGTGAAATGGGGTCGGCAGGGTTGGCCTTGCGCAGAGAGAGCACGATGAGGCGCGGCGGCGTGGCGGCCAGTATGGCGCAGCACTGCTCCAGCAGCAGCCGCCAGCGCACGCCGGCCCGCTCTTCTGATGACATCGCTTTTAACTGTTGCGCCTATTAAAGGAACGAACCACAGACTTCTATATTTTTAAACTTTTTAGCGTCTAACTGTTAATTCAAACAAATTCACTTATTAAAGAAATCGGATTTACAATACTCACCGAGTAACCGAAAGTGGTTTGCAAAATGTTTGCAGGAAGACGAGCGGTCAGTTCCCCGGTAAAATCAGCGAAGCGCACTCTTAATTCTTCATAATTATTGTCCCTGAATCAATTGACGAAAATTTTAAAAAATATATAATTAACTGGACTTTGAGTATAACATAGTGGGAATATCATATCTCAAAATAGTAACTCTTTAGTATTCCTTCTGTGTCTGTGATAAAAATCCAGTGACGCTTACAATATACGCAGTCAGCCGTTGGTTGCGTAAATTGTTTTGAGACATTT